GGAATGTGTTTACTTTTTTAGTTTTGATTTTGAGCAGCAAATTTGGAGTTACATATTGGTGCTCACCAGGAATGCATAAGCAAAATTGCACAAATTTTCACTTGAAAGAATAGTGGCGATCTTGGGATTGTTTTCTGTTCAATTTTCAAATAGTGTGTAAATTCAATACACTTAATCTTCAGCATGTTTAGTGCCACTTTTGTAAGTAACCACGCCCCCGTCCAGGCCACGCCTCTTCCGCTTTTTTCATCACTCGCCATTGCCATCTATGCACTATAGGGCGCACCAAAAAGTCTTCCATTTTCTGAAAAAGGTCACCGAGCGCCTTAAAATCCGGTGAGTCTTGTGTATGGTCATACGTCGAACCCAAGATGGCTCCTTGCTGGAGACATGCTTACAATGTTATAACTTGCTGTTTGTTCAGTGAACTGTGTCGCTGCTTCATTAAATAAGTTTTTGTTGCGATTCCGAAAAAAGGAGAACGGTGGTGTTGTTTTTTTTTTTTTTTTAAACAGTCTCAACAAACGCAGGTACGTCTTTGTCCGTCTCCGCCTTTTCGTCAGTTCGACTCGAGAGGCGTTCAAGACCGCCTCCGAAAAACGTAAACTAACGATTACTTCAATGAAACTACGAAAATTGAAAATAATACATCAAAACTGAAAAGCAAGCGAGTATATCAGAAAATAAATTCGATAGCCCCCCCCATCCCCCACAGAATTTATATTGTGATTTTATCATGTGTGAATACACAACAAAGGAATAAATAACTACTACTGACATCTGATCGTTCTGTTGGAGTTATGATCAAGGAAATGCGTTTTTCGGAGGCGGTCATGAACGCATCTCGAGTTGGAACGGAAGAAGAGAAGGCACGTAGACGGTTGCACCTGTATTTGTTGAAAAAAGGAGAGCTGTTTTTTTTTTTTTTTTTTTAAACACAGACTTTATTAATGGTTTTCACAGTCTCAACAAATGTCTTTGTCCGTCCGTCTCTGTGCCTTCTCTTCTTCCGTTCCACTCGAGATGCGTTCATGGCCACCTCCGAAAAACATAAATTAATGATTACTTCAATGAAACTACAAAGAAAATCAAGCGACGAAATCACAAAATAAATCTGTACGGGAGATATAGAATTTATTTTGTGATTTCCTTGCTTGATTTTCTGTTTTGATGCATTATTTTAAATTCTCGTAGTTTCATTTAAGCACAGTAATAGTTAATTTAGGTTTTTCAGAGGCGGTCATGAACGCCTCTCGAGTTGAACGGACGCCTCTCGAGTTGAATGGAAGCAGCGTAGCACCATCTAGTGGAGGCATTGTATATTGCACCTTATAATGCGATGCGTCCGATATATGAAAAAAAATTATAAAATAGCCATTCATTGAAGGTGCGCCTCATAATCCAGTGTGCCTTTTAGTGCGGAAAATACGGTAATCAAAATACATTTGGTGCAAATGTGGTCATGCTGGAGAAATTCCAGGAAAAACACCAATCTGATGACCCATGACATCAGCTCAGTGAAAACCTGCTCGAATTTCTGCAGCAAAGAGCACCAGTAGTGAATCAGACCGCATGGTTTGCAGCCATCTCGTTACCTCTGCGTCCCGCGTCCTAGACGCGTAATTTTCCCGCGGGACGCACAGTTCCAAATAATGTGCGTTTTTGGGACGCAAGGAAAAAAAAACTTTGGCAGGCCTGAGGATTTCACGGTAACGATCGTTACCGGTCGCGTGTCGTTTCCGTGGCGTCATTTTAACGGTACCGAAAAATCGTTTAACCATAAAACTCACCGCACACGAGTTGACTGTACGCGATCAAATCTCTCCTGTGTGATCAACGCAATTTCACTGTGCCTGTATATGTGTTTGTGGTGTGGTGTGTGTGTGTGTGTGTTTCTTCTAATTTACTTTCGTTTTGTTTTGTTTTCAGTGTTGGGGGGAACGAACAGCTAACGTGATGTGCACATGCGGGTTGCTATTTTAGTCCGCAAACTGAGGAATCGCGCGGATGAAAGTTTGAGATGGCGGTGAAAAAAACAAAGGTCTACTAATTACGACATTTAAGAAATGGGAATGCCAGTCTGATTTTTCGTATGAATCGTCTGAAGGGCGTATCACGAAACTCACCTGGGATGTATGCACAGAACACGAGAGCGAGATAGGACGGGAGGCACGATTACGAGGCAAGTTGGTCATTAGATCTAGAGGCTAATCGCTAGGAAAAATGTTATGAAACAGTATTGGTTATTCTGTAATTTACTGGTTGTAGCATGGTAACTTTATGAATAAAACATTCGTCACAAGGTGGTGTAATGCTAATGTTAACTGTTGATCGAACT